CACACATATCAAGGATAAGTAATTCTACTTATCATCCATTTAAATATGTTACTAGTCATTCCTCGTAAACAAGCGATTAATTAATATTTACATTTCTCAATTCCCATGTAGCTAATCATGTGTGGAAGAATGAAGAGTCATTCATTAAATCCAAGAAAGTCGTTAAGATAATAAGTTGTTGGATTGAAATATGCCTATCAAAAATAAAATTTTCAGATTTGGAAATATGACTATCAAAAGTAGATGGAGGGAGTAAAAACCTATTACTGATAAGGTTTGACTCAGCGCGTGAGGCATCCTATAACCCATGATGGGCTCCAACTCTTACTCGTCAAAGGTGACTTTGTCATCCGACTAAGTCTTGCTCTCCATACTTGATCCAACATGTGTTCTCCTTCATGAATTCTGGACATATTAGATGAGGGTGTATATCTACTCTTCCGACAAACATCTTCTCATTTTTTTTCAATCTACACATGAACAAGTCATATAATCGTTGTTCCTTCTTTCTCTCCTCCTCCGCAACGTTTATAAAATTTGCAACACCATTTCTATACTCTTTTCTATGTCGATCAATTATGTACATCCAATTTCCGTCCATCTCTACAAATGCGAACAAATATTATATATGTGTGTGTGAGAGAGAGATTTATATTATAAAATTTGTAGAGATGGTTTATTTATTATTACATATAGAGAAATTTTCCAAATTTTCTTTTTTTTCTTAGAAAAGACAAAATTTGTCCCTCTAGTCCTCCCACCACAAATGTGAAATAATACATTTGATTGGGATAATCATTACATGAAGGTGTTGGAGTATTTATAGTGTGGAATATCGGTAACGAGGCGATAAATGAAACCCATCAATAACCACCTTATTGGTGACGGGCTTTATAGCTATCTTTGTTGGGCCTGTAGATCTGGTTGCGATCCGTCACCGATGATCTTCGGCGGGCCGCAACCTAACCTCGTCACCGATGAGGGTCATCGCTGACAGGTCCAGCCATGAGGTCTCAGGTGAGTGTTTCTATGGGTGCTTCTATGTCGGAGATTATTTTGGGCCGTTAAAAGTGAGTGCCTATGCGATTGGTCGTAGGTCTCCGTTATAGATGGTCCATTTGCGATGTCTAGTTCTATATTAGTCGTCGTTTGATGAAACATCTGTAGGATCGAATACTAAGAAATAAGCCAACCAGAGGGGGGGTGAATGGTTGATGTACCCAAAAACTAAAACTTTTAGCGGAATTAAAAGTTACCCTCGAATCGACGGATCACGGTGTGACCGAAGTAGATTGGCCGGTCTGACCGCCTGGATATCGTCGGTCTGACCGGAGTTGATCGTTCGGTCTAACCGCCCCGAAGAAGCTGTAGTCACCTGAAGCTGCCGCCAGTCTGACCGCCGCAATGCTGCCGATCTAACCGACGGTATCTCGCCGGTTAGACCACCGAACCCGAGCAAACACAAATCGAAGAATTTTTGATGTAGACGACAACTTTATTACTTCTCTCTGTGTTTACAAAGTGCAACAACAGCACTCCTCATGAAAATCTCGACTAAACTCGAAACCTTAACTATTCTCTCAACTCAATGCTCTCTAAAGTGATACCGGGAGGCCACACCCTCCCTCTCTATTTATACATAAGGTAAGGCAGCCTAAAGCCACGAACCAAACTCATACAAGAAATCCAAATCCACCTAGAAAACCTTCCCGTACAAGAAACCAACTTTACAAACTCCAATTGTACCAAATTTGGACTCCTTCCAATTTCGACTCCGCATCCCATACGCACACAATATCTCCATCGTATGCCATATGGAATCTTCACCAACCACGTACATTGATCTTTAGCCTAAGTATCCCGCATGATATCTGACTGTCCGGACGTCACCTTATCTCCAAGTTGACTCCCAATCCATCACCGGCAATACTCTCCCGAGACATCAAGACACCTACACATGAATCAAACAAAGAAACCATATTCCGAGACCAAGTTATCTCCAACTTGACTCAATGTTAGCAAACAACAGTATTACGTACGCATAGTATCCATCTAGAAACCATAAACATGAAACATTCACGGATATCCAATGAAACAACCCGAAACCGAAACCGACATAGTGTCGGCCGGTCTGACCGCTTGATATATGCTGGTCTAACCGGCAACCACTGCCCGGTTTAACCGGACCCGACAATACAACGGTTCTTGTTCATCACCTGAAAATCCAATCATCTCAAAAACCACTTCGCCAATAATCTCCAAATATCAAAACTAATAATCTCAGATGCTAATTGTTCACAGAATAAGAATTAAATACACTTTGATTTTACAACCTTGACCAAATACCGTGGACAGCTTTTTCCTTAGCAAAATTTTACTCACCCATTTCACACAGTTTAGTTTGCTATGCAACTCTAGGGCTTAATCCTTACCTATGATATTTTGGGATAGCCTATTACATATGGTGGTGCCAATGGCGGCGTGTAGGTGTACGTTTTGGCATCGGCGTGCAAACTTATTCCTACCATAGCCATTTTTTTTCCCTACTAGCAAGATTTTATTCATCCATTTATACAGTTTTGCCATGAAATTGTTGGGATTGATTAATCGCAAATTGGATATTTTGGGATATATCTATAGCAGAGCACAGGATAAAAGAGTATCAAAGCTGTTCTACACGATAAGATATAAATGAACTCCCTCTTCCACAATAATCACTGGAACAGTACCGCTTACCAAATGGGATGACTAAAAGTCGTCGTTGATCACTTCAGCGCAGAATATTTCAGGTCATTTGTAGTCTCATAGCATATAGTTTTATCAATAAGTTTTACAAAATTATAGCCGGAGAACACGCATGCCATTTTCATTCATAATTAAACCATCTTTCTGCTACTAACTTGTGTTAAGAATTCTAATTTTAGCCATGAACCTCGTTGATGCAAATGTTTGAACCTGTTTAGTCAAAACAGAACAATTCTTTCATGTCGCTAACAGGTACTGTTGAAATTTGTGTGTGCTGTTTGGACTGAAGTTGAAATTTCCACCCTTGTGTTCAGAATTGAACCATCTTGTGTTCAAATTCTGAATTTTACCAATGAACCGCATTGATCAAATGTTTGAATCGGTTTGGTCAAAACATAAATTCTTTGATGGGACTAATTATTGGTAGTGATGAAATTTGTGTAAACGGACCAAAGGTGAAACTTCTGGCCCTATATCTCGACTAAGGAGGATCTTAGTATCAATGTTTTCAAGAAAGGAGATGGTGAGCACCTGGGTGTATTCGAACCCAGGCCGTTGATTGACTAGCTCCCGGCAGCTCCCTGCCAACTAAGCTACACAACGTTCTCATGTTTTTCATCCAGACGTTAAATCATGATTCACAAGTGCTTTCATTGATTTCTTTGCATTTATACAGAAGTGGTGCAAGGGAATGTAGTTGAAGAAGGTGACTAGAATACTTATCTGCAACCTTTTTGTGTTGTTTCTCTGAAACTTTTTCTTCATGAAGCTATACTAACGGTAGCAAGTGAGTTTCCATTAAGATGTGATTTTTTTTATCGTGTGTGTCCTATTATAATCGAGAAATTTTACAATCCTTGAGACGTTCTAAAAGGTATCAAAATTTTTAGTACAAATTTGGTACCTTCTAGTACCAAAGGTATCGAAAGATGCTAAATTTTACACTATAATGGTACCTTCTGGTACCTTTTGAAGGACTAATCGTTATAATCAAGATATGGAGCTGAAATAGGATACTATAGTCAATTTACTTTTATAACTTATTCTAGTACTCCCTCCGTATTTTAATGTATGACGCCGTTGACTTTTTAACCGACATTTTGACCACTCGTCTTATTAAAATACGGAGGGAGTAAGTATTAATATAGTTATTGCTGATTATTCTTGCTTATTTATTTAGAAAACACTTCCACCTTATTGTTACCTATAAGTGCCTATATAACATGGACAATTTTCCTACCCAAATTTTCACTCGTCCATTTCACACAGTTTTGCTATGAAATTGTTGGGCTTAATGAGCTCACATTGGAAATTTGGGATAGCACGGTTACTATTATGCACCTGCACCAGTAGATGCAGATGATCTGTCACTACAGGGACAGTGACGTTGCCCCCATTTGTGACGACTGGCAAATCGTCGATCGTTTCAGCGCAGAGTAGTCTTAGGAAATCACATCCATCAATAGCGTTGTCAATCCTTCGATGAAACGATCGTTGTCATTTAACCGGAATCATTTATATCGCAGTAGAAGCAGGCCCGGGCGCCGGGCTACCAGAACAAGTATAATTCCTTGTGTACTCATCCAGCTTTCAATACTACATAAAACATTATTGAAAGTCTGAAACACAAGTATAATAAGACCTTGTTTAGATCCAAAAAATTTTGGTCAAAAACATCATATCAAATCTTTAAACACATGTATAGGACATTAAATATGAAAAAAAACCCATTGCACAGTTTGCGTGTAAATTGCGAGGCGAATCTTTTGAGTCTAATTACGCCATGATTTGGCAATGTGGTGCTACAGTAAATATTTGCTAATGACGGATTAATTAGGCTTAATAAATTTGTCTCGCAGTTTACAGGAGGAATCTATAATTTGTTTTGTTATTAGTCTACGTTTTATACTTCAAATGTGCGTCTATATATTTCAAAAACTTTACACCCAAAGAACTAAACACACCCTAAGTTTGGCCCGAGGTGGATACGGGACGCTTGTATAGTGATGGTGTTTCTCTTTGCAATTCAATTTTGCGTGGCTCATACACATTGTTTAGATGGTAATCAGATCGAGAGATGCTAGTCCAACTCAATTATTTGTGGAGTGAATAAGATGGCAAAAAACATTGACTTGTTCAGGAGCAACCCTTGCGTACACACCTGACTGCTTGTCTGAATGCAAATTCAAAGTAATTGTGTAGGGGCCTACCTGTTGCAGATTCAAGTGTCGTTGCGCTTATAAAAGCTTACAACATTCACTCCCTCTCACTAAACTGTGGCATGTTCTCTAGCCGCTTGTGATACTCGCAATCCTAAACCACGAGAGAAAACATTGCCCCTATAGCAGAAGGGTAGATCGATGGAGGCAGCCATCGGCGCAGCGAGCTGGCTCGTCGACAAGGTGGTGACACAGCTGTCCGACGAGCTGGTGGCGGCTTACATAGCCAGCACCGAGCTCGGCCTCAACATGGAGCAGATCAAGAGGGACCTCATGTTTATGCAAGGGCTGCTCCATCATGCCCGGGAGAGGAGGGACAAGAGCAACCCTGGCCTGCAAGGGCTTCTAGAGGAACTCAGAAAGAAGGCTGATGAGGCTGAGGACGTGCTGGACGAGCTCCAGTACTTCATCATCCAGGACCAGATCGACGGCACCCATGAGGCCACCCCCGTGGTAGACGATGGCATCCGTGGCCAAGTCCTCCATGGCCGCCATGCTCTTCGTCACACCATCGGTAACTGCCTTTCATGCTTTTCTTCTTCTTCTTCTTCTTCTGTACCAGAGGATGCCAATTATCCACATCACACAGCCAAGTCCCGTAGTGATGAATCTGACTATGTTGGCAAGTTGACATTCAATCGAGTAGACATGTCCAAAAAAATCAAGTCGGTAATCGAGGGCATATATGACTTATGTAGCCATGTATCCAATTTGCTCAAAATTACCCAACCTGAAGAAAGAAGGGTTCTATCACTGAAGCGACCTCCCACCAGCTCAACAATTACACAGAATAAATTATATGGGCGGGAAGACATCTTTAACCAGACTCTTGATGACATGTGCACCATACGTAGTGAAACACTATCAGTTCTTCCCATAGTTGGCCCTGGTGGAATCGGAAAGACAACCTTTGCCCAACACCTGTACAATCACAAAAGAACAGAGGCACACTTCTCTGGCAACAAGACCTGGGTTTGTGTATCTACTAATTTTGATGTGGTTAGGCTCACCCAAGAAATCTTGATGTGCATATGTCAAAATAGAAATGAGGAAAGTAGCGGAGCACATGAAACATCCAACTTGGATCAGCTCCAAAAATCCATTGCAGAAAAATTGGATTCTAAAAGATTTTTACTTGTCTTGGATGATATGTGGAGATGCAGCAGTGAGGGTGAATGGGAAAGCCTACTAGCTCCATTGAAAACAGGAGAAGCCAAAGGAAGTATGGTTATTGTCACCACTCGTTTTCCATCTATAGCACAAATGGTAAAAACAACCAAGCCAATAGAACTGCAAGGTCTAGAGGATGATGAATTCTTCACATTCTTTGAAGAATGTATATTTGGTCAGGAAAAACCTGCGTGTTATGAAGATGAATTGATTGATATTGCAAGAAAAATTTCCAAGAAATTTAAGGGTTTCCCACTAGCAGCCAAAACCGTTGGTCGATTATTGAAGAATAACCTTTCCCAGGAAAGTTGGATGGAAGTTCATGAAAGAAATGAGTGGAAAAATCAGCAAGATGGTGATGGCATAATGCCAGCACTACAAATAAGCTATGACTACCTACCTTTCCATCTGAAAAAGTGTTTTTCTTATTGTTCCCTTTACCCTGAGGACTACCGGTTTGGTAATTTAGAGATTACTTATTTTTGGGAAGCATTAGGCATCATAGCTTATGGAGATCAAAATAATAAAGCTGACCATGTAGGATTAAAGTATTTGAACGAACTAGTAGGTAATGGTTTTCTCATGAAGGAAGGTGATGATAGTAGGCCATATTATGTAATGCACGACTTATTACATGATCTAGCACGAAATATTTCGTCACAAGAGTGCATTGACATAAGTTCATATAACTTTAGGTCTGATAGCATCCCACAATCTATTCGACATGTATCTATCACCTTACAATATGATGAGTATGACCAAAGTTTTGAGAGAGAATTAGAAAAATTCAAGACAAAAATAGACATAGTAAATTTGCGGACTTTGATGCTTTTTGGAAAAGGCAATGCAAACATGACCTTTTTCAAAGATTTGTTAAAAGAAACAAGAAGTCTTCGTGTTCTATTTATGCATGCAAACTCGCCCGAATCTTTCCCACATGACTTTTTCAAACTAATCCACCTTCGGTATCTAAAGTTGAAAATACCTTATGGCGTAGAACTATCTCTACCAAATGCAATAAGTAGATTTCATCACTTAAATTTTTTGGATCTAGGGAATAGTATATGTATTTTGCCAAAAGACATGAATCGTCTATTCAATTTACACCTCTTTCTTGCTAGAAAAGAACTTTGTTCCAATATTCCTGGGATTGGTAAAATGAAGTATTTACAGAGGTTGGAAGAGTACCATGTTAAGAAAGAAGACATTGGGTTTGATCTGAGTGAGCTAGGGGATTTGACAGAGCTTGGAGGTGAACTGACAATATTTAATCTTGAGAATGTGGCAACAACGGAAGAAGGTAATCAAGCCAAATTGCAGTTGAAAAGAAATTTGAGAAGATTGACGCTAATTTGGGGTGCGGTGCAACAGACGACAGGATCTGATGTTCTTGATGGCCTGCAACCACATTATAATCTTAGAGCACTTGGCATAATAAACCATGGTGGTCCCACTGGTCCTGGTTGGTTGTGTTCCGATATCTATCTATCTATTATATACTAAAAGTCCATTAAACTTTCTATAAACGCTCTCAAGCCGCCACGTGGCTTTCTACAAACGCTCCTAGGTCACCACGTGGCATTCTATAATCTCACCGTCGATTTTCTTTTAAATCGGTGGACCCACTAATTTTAACTATTAGATCTTCATTGAAAAAATAAATCTGGTGTCCCCACTATTTTTTAAAAAAATTGCCGTGTTTGCCATCGGGCAAGGAACGTAAGTTCTTTTTTTTTTCCCGGCGGCATACGATACGTACTCCACGTTCCACGTTAGTATTATTTTTTTCCTTTTTTTTATTTTGCAAACAGTTCTGGTGTCCCCACTATTTTTAAAAAAAATTGCCGTGTTTGCCATCGGGCAAGGAACGTAAGTTCTTTTTTTTCCCGGCGGCATACGATACGTACTCCACGTTCCACGTTAGTATTATTTTTTTCCTTTTTTTTATTTTGCAAACAGTACTTTTTCTTTACACCTTCTGAAAACAGTACTACTACTACGCACATCGTACATACACTAGGGGAGTTTAGGAGAAAGTGTTAATAGATATGTAAAATCACATCTTATCGATTTAAGTAAAAATCCATAGTTAAATATTTTTTCTTTTTCTTATAATTTTTAATAATTCTTTTAATTTAGAGATATGACATGTGGTAACCTACCAGCTTTTATATGAGTGTCACGTGGTAGCTTAATAGCGTTTCTAAAAAGTTTAATGGACTTATATATAGTAAAAGTTAATTTAACTTCCTATAAATACTCTCAAGCCGCCACATGGCCTTCTACAAACGTTCCTAAATCACCACGTGGCATTTTTTAATCACACCGTCAATTTTACGAAGGTAAAAAAAAAAAAACGCAGTACGTACTCCTTCCACCCTCCGAATCTCCCATCCTCTCCTATTTTCTAGCTAACTTATCATATTTTCTCATTAACACTCAATATATCAAAAAATAATTCGGACATCTAATTGATCGCGACTCTCAAATTATAATTTTATACTCAGGTTTTTTTCAATTGTTATGTTATTTATAATTAAATATAAAATTCAAAATCCATATCACTCATATTTTGTTATCTAAAAATTAGATCATGCTGCCGTTCTAACTACAAATGTCAGGGCCTAATGGTACGCCCATAAACACTTCTAAGTCGATCTCGCCTTGTAACACTATAATAAATTAAAATAAATCTATAAGTATGACAAATGAAAATAAAACATCTAACCATTGCTCTCCACTTAAATCGATGGATCCACTATCTTATATGGTTAGATCTATCTTTAAAAAAAAATCCCAAAACTCCCTCACATTCCTCCATTCCTCTGATTCCTCTCTCCCTACCATTCCTTCTCTGTTCTTTTTATCTCCATAGTAACTAAAACCAACATTATCTTTAGGATAAAAAAACTCCAAAAATGGACTCCACCTAACAAGTCTAGCTAGCTTTCCCTCTATAATGTGCTTTTCTTATCTTTCTCCTCAAGCTAGCACTTACAGAAACAATATAAACTAGACTTTAAAACACTCATAAAATTTTAAATCGTATATTCATTTATGATATTTCTACACTATTTTAATTTTTAATTAAATAAATAATTTAATATCTGTATTGACTTACATTGTGGACCACATCTATCCACCTTTAAGCCTCCAATAAATAAAATAGAACACTAAAATTTCTCATTAAAAATTAAAATATCTCACCTTATGTTTTTAATAAATGGTCAACCCATTATTTATACCATGCTAGACATCTAATCTCCTTCTTCCAACTCCTTATGTTTCAGATTATAAGTCATTTTAAATTTTGTCAATGTCAAATTACTTGAATTAGTTTATAAAAAACATAGTAATATTTTCTACACAAAACAATCATATTATAAAACATATTCAATTTTGAATTCAATAAAAATAATTTGGTGTTGTAAATATTGATATATTTTTCCTCAACAGTGGAAATAGTTAATTTCTCTTAACATGCATATATGGGCTATTTACTTATATTTGAACTTAATTAGATGCACTTTTATGAATAAATGATCTTTTTAGGGATAAATAAACGTTCCTAAGATGATCATAATATCTAAATTATACATATGATATCTGATGTCACTAATAGATTAGAGAAAAAGCTTATAATTATATCATTTTTTCGTGTCATAACGTGTACCCCGTCTAGGATCTATTTGTCATACACAGCACATTGAAAATATTTAAGGGATACCTTTATCCCATGCCAAGTTGTATGGCCATTCCAAATTGCAGAGATCAAAACATTTAAGAGACGCTCGATGGAATGGAAATCTATAAAAAAATAACATGATAAAAATAATTGAAGACTGAACTTTTTTTTTCTAAATTTAACATTTTTTTAAAAAAATTGAAACCCATTCTAAATAGCAATGTTTTAATATTTTAGGAGTACTGAAATAATGAAAATAACTAAATATTTAAATAAAATATAATAGAAAATTTGACCCTTTTCAGCATTATGTTGGAAACAAAATCTAATATAACTAAACTACAACTTGGGAGCGATAAAAGTCTCATTTTCTAATATATTTTCTGGTTGAGAAAAACATTTACTGCTAAACTGTAGTTTCATACTGCAATACTATATACATACAATTAAATCAATATTTCAACAAATTCAGCTAATTTAATTAGATGTAGTCGTATTAGGCATATTTTTAATAGAAAATATCTTCAATTAATATATCCTAAAATTCATAAAGACATATATATTATAAAAAGAAAAATTGTTACTCAGAGTTTAGAAAGTACAAAATTATGTTATGCTAAATATTTTAAAAAAAGAAACGCATTATGTACAAATGATATATAGTTTCATGTATATTTTTTTTATAAAACCTAAACTGCATTGTTTTAAGTAATTTTAGTTTACAATTTATACGGTGGCGATGGTTACTAGCATTAAGAGAAACACCACACAAATTATTGAAAAATTAAAGATGTTTACGATAGACTAATCATAAATATTTCTAATCAAATTTTTAACACACTTAAATATGATGCCCGCGCATTTGCGCGGGCTACCTTCCTAGTTCGTATAAATGGCCTGAAATGTCTACATTTAGAGGGCATATCTTGGAGAACACTCCCACCTTTGGGGCAACTAATGCATTTGGAGGAACTTACTTTGATCAATATTGCTGGGATGCGTCAATTTGGACCTGATTTTGGTGGTGTTACGAAGAAGAGTTTCTTACACTTGAAGAAAATTGAACTTGTTGGTTTACCGGAACTTGTGGAGTGGGTTGGGGGAGATCATTGCCATATGTTTTCAAAGCTTTTAAGCATCAGATGTGAAGATTGTCCTAATCTCACCGTGCTCCTGCTGCCATCGTTTGAGTGCTCTATCTCTGACACAAAAGACATAAACACCATATGGTTTCCCAACTTGTGTTCTCTTAAGATTCGAAATTGCCCCAGGTTGTCACTGCCTCCCCTGCCTCACACTTCCATGCTAACCTGTGTTACTGTGAAAGAAGATGATACAGATTTGATGTATTTTGATGGAAAAAGTCTGAGGTTAAATCGCTACGGTAGTGCTTTGGCCTTCCATAACCTGAACAAAGTAGAAGATATGGAAATTGTAGACATGCCGCTCGTTTCATGGACTGGTCTCCAAAAGCTGAACTCCCCCAGAAGCATGCAATCGATGGGTCTGCTCTCAAACCTCTCATCTCTCACTCATCTAGAACTAGTAAATTGTGATAACTTAAGAGTCGATGGTTTTGATCCTCTCACCACATGCAACCTCAAGGAAATGGCAGTTTACAATAGTAAAAACCATCACCCCTCCATAGCAGCGGATTTGTTCTCAGTGGTGGCAATGATGGAAGTAATACCTGCAGGTTCCTTCCAGCAGCTGGAACAACTCTCGGTGGACAGCATCTCAGCAGTGCTTGTTGCCCCCATTTGCAACCTCCTGGCTAGCACCCTCTGTAAGATGGAATTCCCGTATGACATGTGGATGGAAAGCTTCACCGAAACGCAGGAGGAGGCGCTTCAGCTCCTCACCTCCCTCCAATGCCTAGGATTCTATGTGTGTCCCCGTCTGCAGTCCCTCCCAGAAGGGTTACATCGCCTTTCTTCACTTCGTGAACTAATTATCCATAAATGTCCTGAAATCAGAGCGCTTCCCAAGGAAGGGTTCCCCGCATCACTGAGATATGTATTTGCATACGAGGGCATCAGTGTTGATCTAAAGGATCAACTCAAGAAACTAAAAGCATCAACGCCAGGTTTACGTGGTAAAGCATGTCCTCTCCTAATTCCTGTATTTGTCCCTTATTAAATCTGTAAATTTTCATATTTAACTAATTTTTGCCTGTTTTGCTATTAATGATTTACCTCATGTGGAGTAGTGGTTTCATCGCTAACCAACTTAGTAAATTAATGCGAGCTACACAAGATTACATGAAGGCCAGCAATCTAGAGGTCAGTTCATGGAAAACCAAGGCAGTCCTTCATTTTGTGGTTTCTTTCTAAGTTCAGGCAGCTGCTTTTAGTTTAGTCCATATGGTTGAGCTGTTTTCTTTATCTGCTATCTGAATCAATGCTATATTAGTTAGCTTACATTCTATATATCCTTACATATTTTTTTCATCTCAAACAGCATCACAACAGTTTGCACGCATGCAGCTGCGTAATAAATCTGAAACCCGCCCGCCCTGCTATGGTCTGATGTCATCAGATCCAACAGCATCAATTAAGCCATGGTGGTCAGTAGCATCACTTCTGCTCATATCGTTTGTTTTTTTTTCTTTTCTGTAGTTTCTCCTGAAACTAGTACTCCATCCATTCTAAAATGGCAAAATATATCAATATCAACGTAGTACTACGAATGTAGACAGCCTTCATCGTATTAGGTGGTGTCTAATCTATTATTAGGACACTATATTTTGAAACGGAGGGGATAGCTTTTGTAATTTCTCTCGATGTCCTGAAATCAGATCGCTGCTCAAGGAGCATTCCTCTCTTCATTGAGATATCCAAGGGCAAGACCGCAAGAGGATGCAGCATCGTCTACAGGATCAACTCAAGAAAATAGCTAGGAGAATTAGACCCACATTTGGTAAAAGTGCCAGGGTGATCCAAAGTGAAATTTAGGTAATAAAAAGTGACCTAAAGTGCAATTCACTCAATAACTTTACAACGCACTGCAGAAGCTGATATGTTCTCTGTTATCTTTGGTAGCGGTGGAGGCAGCCTAGGAAAATCTGGCTATACTGAGATGTTTGTCATTTAAAAAGAGAAGTCTATCTTCAATTAAAATAACACCAAAATGCCTTTATGCATTCATCAACGAGCCAGGGAAGCATTTCAAGGTACTAGATTCAACAATTCCTGTAGGACAAATGGTCATTCCACTGTTCATGGGTATTGAGAGTATAGATAGCCATGTGGGCCGCCCGGCACAGCCCGGCCCAGGCCCGGCCGTGCCTAGGCCGAGGCTTGTCAGGCCGGCACGGCCCGACCGACTCACCGGGCCAGCCCACGTGCCGCACTCACGGCCTAGGCACGGCCCAACACGCCTCGGGCTGTGCCGGGCTGGCCCGAAGGCACGATGGGCCATCGTACGTTTCCTCAGAATAAGTCTAACTTTCCTCCCTCCTATTGGGCTGTGACATATATATAGCTAAAAAAGTCTATTTTACCTCCCTCTTATTTGGGCTGTGGTATATAAATAGCTAAAACAAACTCAACGCACCCATTGGTGCGCGGACTAATGTATGGCCCGTCACCATCGTGAGCTTCTCTATATCTCAATATTTTTTTTCATATTTATTTGAAATTGCCTGCGTTAGTTCGTTTGGGTTGGGAACCCATCTTCTCCACATAGAAAACATAACGGTCCATTAGCACGTGATTAATTAAGTATTAGCAAAAAAAAACTTTCAAAAATGGATCAATATGATTTTTTAAGTAACTTTCGTATAGAAACTTTTTGCAAAAAACGCACCGTTTAGTAGATTGAAAAGCGTGCACGCGGAACACGAGGGAGAGAGGTTGGGAACACAGAGTAAAGAAGTGCGTTTTTTGCAAAAACTTTCTATACAAAAGTTGCTTTAAAAATCAAATTAATCCATTTTAAAAAAATTTTCTGCTAATACTTAATTAATCACGCGCTAATGGACCGCTCCGTTTCCTGTGTGGAGGAGATGGTTCCCAACTCGAAGGAGCGAACAGAGGGTTGGGAACCACTCCCCTTTGCACGCAAAACGGAGTGATGGATTAACGCATGATTAATTAAGTATTAGCTATAAAAAACTTGAAAAATGGATTAATATGATTTTTGAAAGCAACTTTTCTATAGAAACTTTTTTCCAAAAACACGCGCCGTTTAGTAGTTTGAAAAGCGTGCGCGCGAAAAACGAGGGTGATGCGTTGGGACATAGGGGAAAGAACTAAGACAGGGGGTGTTTAGATAATTAGATCTAAGGGTGTAAAGTTTTGGCGTGTCACATCGGGTATTATACAGGGTGTCGCATGGGGTGTTTGGGCACTAATAAAAACTAATTACAAAATCCGCCAGTAAACCGCGAGACGAATTTATTAAGCCTAATTAATCCGTCATTATCAAATGTTTACTGTAGCACCACATTGTTAAATCATGGAGAAATTAGGCTTAAAAGATTCGTCTCACAAATTTATCGCAATATGTGCAATTAGTTATCTTTTTAGCCTATATTTAATACTTCATGCAGATATTTAAATGTTCGAGTTCGACTTGACAGGGTGTAAAATTTTGGGGTGGGATCTAAACAGGGCCTTAGTTTTATGCCAGTAAAATTTGTAACAAAAAATTCACACATTTGAAATGATCCCTTCAATACTTCCCTCATCACTTACAATTTTAATAATTTTTTTAAAGTTATGCTGAATACCTAAAATAGATATTATTGTATATTGGCTTACAAATTTATATCTAAAGGAAAAAATGTAGCAAGTGAAGAAATTCAACCACCTTTTTCAGTCCTTTGTCAGTTCAAAATTACCTTCAGAACCCAACCAGGACGTACCTATGTATTTGACTCCAACCTGTCTGATAACTAAAAAAAAAATGTCCTAGACTCCATGATGTAAAATTTGCTAGGTTAAATTAGACCAGATTTTATTTTAAGAATTGCATGTAACATTTTCTTTTTTTAAATTATTCTTACCTTAATTTTTCCTATCTAATATTTAATCTGCATTAATTTTGCTTGTAAAATTTTCTTGATGGCTAACATTAGTTTTTTGTTCTTTTGCCTGTCATTCTCCTCTTACATGCAGCGCAGGACTTGCCCGTCCAGTAGGGCACCCAAGACCCAGCACGCGCGCCCAACGTCATTCGTCCGGTCGTCGCACGTCCTTTGCAGCCGCTAATTTTCCTCCCTCCTATTGGGCTGTGACATATATATATATCTAAAAGTCTATTTTACCTCCCTCTTCTTGGGCTGTGGTATATAAATAGCTAAAATAAGTCTATTTAAGGTCCCTATTCTTTGGACAATTACATTTATATGTCTATTTTAGTCCCTATACTTTATGTGCCGGGCCTAGCCTGCCGGCCCATCGTGCCGGGCCGGCCGGTCGGGCCAGCGTGCCGGTGGGGAGGCCCAGACACGGCCCGGCAGTCGGGCCATGCCGTGCCGTGCTTGGGCCGGGCCAAAAAGCCGTGCCATGGGCCGGGCCTTCGGGCCTCGGGCCTTATGGCCATCTATAATTGAGAGCGATTTTTTTTTTCTGTGGAAATCTACCAATCCAGAAGCTTATCCACAAATCATCAATTTAACATGCATCATATATGGTTCGGCACCATTCAGATTCGCCAGTGGAAACTGATTCTATGTACGCCTACTAACTTCAAAATCTTCTTATTTTCATAGGCAACCTGTCCAGCTGTTTTCGATAACAGAGGTACATGGCGATGTGGTTATGTTTGTAGCTTTCTTGGGAGTTCTGAACAAACCATTTGTAACACATTAGCAGGTGATTACATGGCTTGTTTTCCCACAGAAATTACAGTTTTGTTGTTAAGGGGCAATACCCGAATTCTTGGAGGATCATTGTTTCCATTTCATTTCGTTCAAAAGAAATTTGTTTCCATTTCATCATCTGGTAGACTGGTATGTTCATAGTGTTAGTTAGCATGAAAGGTTCGGATCATGTGATCACGACCTGACAGCTTGCATGCATGTAGTTGTTGAGGTTAGTTTGGATTAGGTTAGTCTATCCATGCGGATCAGGTTAGCCTTTCCTCCACATGCGATAACAGATGTTTGTTAGAGTTTGTTTTCTGTTTTCTGTTACTGCATGCAGTCGTTTCATCAATCTCGGCTTCGGTTGTTCTCAGCTGCGCCGAACTCTGTATCGCCACGATGGGGGCTGTTCCCATCACATATATATTAACACGAAGGCGACGCACAGGATTAGTGCGATCGTTTCCACCCAAACTAATTCACATGGTATCAGAGCGTTGATCAATTCCCTAATAGATCAATACTCATGGCCTCGTCGTCCAGTACGGCTGCCACAAATCCGTTCCAAGGCCACCCAATCTCAGAGAAGCTTGGGAAGGCAAATCATGCGCTCTGGAGAAAATTGACATTTAGCCATTGTCAAAACGGGGTTTCGCTGGAATGCCACTCCCAAAAATGGTTTCGTTAAAATGCCACCCTCAAACAGGGGCAACTTGTTGCAATGCCATTCCATCCATTTCTTCTCAGTTTAATGTTTTTTGTAATGTTTTTCTTGTTGAGATGACCAAAATACCCTTATCCTATCTCATCTCTCCTCTCTGTCTTCCTCCTCTCCGTTCGGCTCGGCGGCGCAGCTAGAGACGGAGACGGCGGCAGCGTGGCCGGAGACGGGGAAGGCGGCAGCGCGCTTGGGGATGGGGAAGGCGGCGGTGCGGACGGGGACGGTGGCGACGCGGATGGGGACGGGAAGGCGGCGACATGGCTGGGGATGGGGACGGCGGCGACTGGGACGGGGACGGGGACGGCGGCGGCGCCGACATGGCTGGGGCAGGTGGGATGTTCTTTTACGCCGATGCAGATGGCGCCGCTGAGCCGAGCAGCCTTCCCCAACCCACGTCGGCGCCGTCCCCGTCGCCAGCCGCACCGGCACCGCCCACCTCATCGCCGACCCCATCTCCATCCTCCTCGACGACCTCCTCCTCGAGTGCCTCGCCGGCGTCCCCTATGCCTCCCTCCCGCAACTCCCCACCACTTCACCACGCTTGTCGCCTCCGTCGCGCGCACGGCGAGCTCCGCTCCTCTCTCCTCGCCCTCTCCGTCACGCCCACGGCGAGCCGACGGATGTTGGCGTGGTGGTGGTGATGAGGACGAGGAGCCGGCGGCCACCGACTCGCAGCTACGCCCCGTCGCCGCCGCTACGCTCCACCGCCGGCGACTGGATGGGGATCCCCTTTCTTCTTTCCCCTGCAAAGTCAACAAAATGACTAGGGGCAAATATGCCAGAGAATGATGGAAAACATTTGGAAATCAGTTAAAATGGTTGAAATGGCATTATAGTAAGTTGGCTTCATTTGACAATGGTATTATAACGAAGCCATATTCGGAAGTGGCATTCCAGCGAAACCCCATCCTGAAGATGGCTAAATGTCAATTTTCTCTGCGCTCTGGAAGGTGCAAGTAAGCGCCGCAGTCAGAGGAGCGCGGCTTCAGGGGCATCTCACCGGCGCAACCAAGCGGCCGCCGGCAGAGATCGCTGTCACAAAAGATGGCGCCACCAAGAAGGAGCCGAACCCAGCCCATGAAGACTGGGAAGCCACCGACCAGCAAGTTCTGGGGTACCTTCTCTCGTCGCTGACAAGAGAGGTGCTGATGCAGGTCGCTACAGGCGACACCGCGGCTGAAGTGTGGAGCGCCATCGAGCAGATGTACTCCGCCCACACACGAGCAAGAGCGATTAACACTCGGTTTGCTCTCACCAATACAAAGAAAGGTAACATGTCAACTCCTGAGTATTTTGCAAAAATGAAATCCTTAGGAGATGAGATGGCTACTGCCGGAGGTCGCCCGATCGATGAAGAGGAGCTGATTCAGTATATCATCACCGGCCTTGGCGAGGGCTACAGCGAGGTGGTGTCGGCTGTCTGCGCTCGGGTTGAACCAATCTCTGTGAGTGATCTGTACTCTCAAGTGTTGAACTTTGAAGCTCGCCAAGCCATCTACCGCGGCGCACAGGAGGTCACCGTCAATGTTGCCAACCGTGGAGGCTTCAGCCACGGGGGGCGTGGCAACAGCAATGGTGGCCAAGGAGGTTCGCGCGGCGGCGGCGACGGCGGCGGCCATGGTCGCGGCAACGGAGGAGGTGGCCGTGGTCGAGGCCGCACACCAGGAGGCGTTGATAAAAGACCAATCTGCCAAGTGTGTTTCAAACGGGGGCACACGGCAGCAGATTGTTGGTATAGGTACGACGAGGATTACGTTCCTGACGCCAAGCATGTTGCAGCTGCAGCGGTTAACTCCTATGGAGTTGACACAAATTGGTACATCGACACTGGTGCTACAGATCATGTCACGGGAGAGCTGGACAAGCTCACTATGAAGGAAAAATACAACGGTGGTGAACAAATCCACACAGCAAGTGGTGCAGGTATGGATATTAGTCATATTGGTCATGCTATTGTTCATAATCCCAATAGTCGTAATATCCACCTTAGAAATGTTTTATATGTGCCTCAAGCTAAGAAAAATCTTGTTTCAGTACATCGCTTAGTTAATGATAACTCTGCCTTTCTTGAATTACATCGTGATTATTTCTTTCTTAAGGATCAAATCACCAGGAAAACTCTCCTTAAGGGAAGATCATGGCGCAGGCTATATCCTCTACCACACTCCTCCTTGAAGCAAGCCTACAGTGCCATCAAACTATCTTTGGACCGGTGGCATCATCGTCTTGGTCATCCTTCCATTACCACGGTTAAACAAGTAGTCAATAAGTTTAGCCTCCCCTGTTCAGATTTGTCTAGTGAGTCAGTTTGTAATGCTTGTCAACAAGCAAAGAGTCATCAATTACCTTTTCCTATTTCTTCCAGTGTTTCCAAACACCCCTTAGAACTTGTCTTTTCTGATGTTTGGGGACCTGCTCCAGAGTCTGTTGGGAGAAAAAAATATTATGTTAGTTTTATTGATGATTTTAGTAAATTTACTTGGATTTATCTCATACAGCATAAGTCTCAAGTGTTTGACAAGTTTCAGGAGTTTCAAGTCATGGTAGAACGTCAATTTGATAGAAAAATTCTAGCCATGCAAACTGACTGGGGAGGCGAATATCAATCCCTTAACTCTTTTTTTTCTAAGATTGGCATTGTTCATCATGTTTCCTGTCCTCATACTCACCAACAGAATGGGTCGGCTGAGAGAAAACATCGTCATATAGTTGAGATCGGTTTATCTCTCCTATCTCATGCATCCATGCCATTAAAGTTTTGGGATGAAGCCTTTCAGGCGGCAACTTATCTTATTAACCGTGTGCCTAGCAGAGTTATCCATAATATTAGTCCCCTTGAAAAACTGTTCAAACAAAAACCCGATTACTCCTCCTTGAGAATTTTTGGTTGTGCCTGTTGGCCTAATCTTCGCCCCTACAATAACCACAAATTACAATTTCGCTCTAAGCGTTGTGTTTTTCTTGGGTTTAGCACTATGCATAAAGGGTTCAAGTGTCTTGAGGTCTCTACAGGACGCATCTATATTTCTCGCGATGTTGTCTTTGATGAGAATATTTGTCCCTTCACTGAACTTCATGCCAATGCTGGTGCCCGTCTTCGTTCTGAGATTGATATTCTCACTCCTGAACTGCTAGGACCCATACGGTCTGTTGGGAATGAACAATGCATGCATCCAGTGACTAATCCATTATCTGCTGATGTTTCTGCTGCTTTATCTAATCGTGCTAATGAGCCACATAGAGATGGTGCAGTACATCCCGCTGATGCAGAAGATCCGCCGGCGACGCCTCCTCTGGATGCCAGTTCTGGTCCAGAACCAGACCGTGTCGTCCACCACTCCCCTGCGGCCACGTCATCAGGCCGTCATCCGGGTCCCACACCTGGTTCTGTGCCACGGGGGGCAGCATCATCGCTAGCAGAGGAGACAGCAGAAGACTCAGTGTCGCAGGCGGTGCAGGAGCAGGAGTCGCAGGTGGTGCAGGAGCAGGAGCAGTCCTCACCAGCGCAGGAACATGCACAGGCTGTCACAGATGAGACTAATACATTACAGCATGCAGATGTGACTGACACAGGTTCAGAGGCACCGGCAGGACCGCGCACCAGGTTGCAAAGTGGAGTTCACAAAGAAAAGGTATATACTGATGGTACTATTAAATATAAGCATTCTTGGTTTACTGCTTCAGGTGAACCTACAAATGATTTAGAAGCCTTAAAGGATAAAAATTGGAAACTAGCAATGGATTCAGCGTATGATGCTTTAGTTAAGAATAAAACTTGGCATCTTGTTCCTCCTCAGAGAGGGAGAAATATTATTGGCTGTAAGTGGGTGTATAAAATTAAAAGGAAAGCTGATGGTACCCTAGATAGGTATAAGGCAAGGTTAGTAGCAAAAGGATTTAAACAGAGGTATGGTATTGATTATGAAGATACCTTTAGCCCTGTTGTTAAAGCTGCCACTATCAGAATAATATTGTCTTTAGCAGTGTCTAAAGGTTGGAGTCTTAGACAGCTAGATGTTCAAAATGCCTTTCTGCATGGGTACCTAGAAGAAGTTTATATGCTACAGCCACCAGGTTTTGAGGATCCTACTAAGCCACATCATGTGTGTAAACTTGATAAAGCTCTGTATGAGTTAAAACAGGCACCTAGAGCCTGGTTCTCTAGACTAAGTAAAAAGTTGATGGACCTTGGTTTTAAAGGATCAAAAGCTGATACGTCTCTGTTCTTTCTGAATAAAGGTGATATAACTATGTTTGTTCTGGTATATGTTGATGATATCATTGTAGCCGGCTCTTCAGAGAGGGCCACTGCAGCTTTACTTCAGGATCTAAAAGGGGAATTTGCACTCAAAGATCTTGGTGAGCTGCATTATTTTCTCGGAATAGAGGTAAGCAAGGTTCAGAATGGCATTGTACTGAATCAAGACAAGTATGCCAATGATTTATTGAAGAAAGTGGGCATGATAGATTGTAAACCTGCTAATACACCTCTTTCAGTAAGTGAGAAACTCTCTCTTCATGAAGGCTCATTGTTAGGGCCTGAAGATGCAAGTCACTATCGCAGTGTTGTTGGTGCTTTGCAATATTTGACTCTTACTAGACCTGACATAGCTTTCTCTGTTAATAAAGTTTGCCAATTCTTGCATGCTCCCACAACTGTACATTGGATTGCTGTGAAAAGGATTCTTAGGTACTTAAAGCAATGCACTCGGTTAGGACTTGAAATTCATAAGTCAGGATCTACTTTAGTTAGTGGCTTCTCTGATGCAGACTGGGCAGGCTGTTTAGATGACAGAAGATCAACAGGAGGATTTGCAATATTTCTGGGTTCAAATCTGGTCTCCTGGAATGCTAGAAAACAAGCCACTGTGTCTAGATCTAGCACAGAGTCAGAATACAAAGCTATTGCCAATGCCACTGCAGAAATAATGTGGGTGCAGACTTTACTTGCAGAGTTAGAGATTAAAAGTCCAAAAGCTGCTAAAATATGGTGTGATAATCTTGGAGCTAAGTATTTGTCAGCTAATCCAGTGTTTCATGCCAGAACGAAACACATAGAAGTTGACTATCACTTTGTCAGAGAACGGGTAAGTCAGAAACTTCTAGAAATTGATTTTGTTTCCACTAATGATCAAGTTGCAGATGGATTCACTAAACCTCTGTCAGTAAGACTCCTGGAGAATTTCAAAAGCAATCTGAACCTGGTTAGGTCCGGATTGAGAGAGGGTGTTAGTTAGCATGAAAGGTTCGGATCATGTGATCACGACCTGACAGCTTGCATGCATGTAGTTGTTGAGGTTAGTTTGGATTAGGTTAGTCTATCCATGCGGATCAGGTTAGCCTTTCCTCCACATGCGATAACAGATGTTTGTTAGAGTTTGTTTTCTGTTTTCTGTTACTGCATGCAGTCGTTTCATCAATCTCGGCTTCGGTTGTTCTCAGCTGCGCCGAACTCTGTATCGCCACGATGGGGGCTGTTCCCATCACATATATATTAACACGAAGGCGACGCACAGGATTAGTGCGATCGTTTCCACCCAAACTAATTCACACATAGATCTAAGCTAAGCAGTTTTAGGTGAGAGCACTATCTATTGTTTATGGTATTGGTAACATATGTACATGATCATTAATAAGAGAACTAGTAAGAGAACTAGGAAGGTAGCCCGCGCATATGCGCGGGCACTTATTTAATGTTGCTTAATTTTTTATTGTTATAAATGTTTATATGTAGATTATATTTTCAAAATAGATCTTCACTCTATTTAAAACATGTTTTAGTTATTATCTAGTTATGACATATTACATAAAACCATACAGCCTTGAATTTATGATAATGACATGAATTTATAAGAACAACATGTGTCACGATAATAAAACAATAATAGAATAATGGAGTTGTTTCATATCTATTTGTACTATATGTGATTTTTTTACCTAAATAAAGTGTTTTTTTAATTACCACCACGGTAAAATCTCCAAAGGACCATATTGTTGGTTATATTTTGATAAATATCTATAATTTTGCGTCTCGTGTTTTTCAACGCCTATTCTTCATAATCATTCATAATCACAGAAGACACCTTGACCAATTAATTTGGAGAATGAATCTATTTTCCCAAACTTATTTATAATAACTAATTGATTAAAGTATACTTCTTTGTCACATCAATAGAGTGCATGACATACATTCATCGAATTATGCCTGATATGCTGGAATTCCTCAACTATAAGAAAATATAGAGTGAACTTCACTGTGGGCTAGTAATTTTTACCCAAGTTTCATTTTGGACTAGGGGTGGACAAATCTTTTCACTTTGGACCAGGTGATTTTACAAAAATTTCAAACTGGACTGGCCTTCTTCTCCATCTCTCTTATGGTTTTTTTCTTCATCGAGATACTGCCATGGATTAACCGGAGCAAGCACATAACTAGGATTTCTTCTCTCGGATCCGTTCCTGAGCTCGAACTCACGAAATTAAGTCACTGGGCAGCTTGTTGCTGCAACTGTTTCCTGTGAGATCACAATCATGTGATTTTTTTTCAGCTCACATGATTTTGGTGGGAGAAAAAGAGCAAAAAAAGAAAATCAAGGTGCTGGTTTTTTCTTTATTGAGATGCTGCCATGGATCAACCCAAGCAATCACATGACTAGCATTCCTTCTCTCCGATCCGTTCCTGAGCTCGAACTCACAAAATCAAGCCATAGGGCTGCTTGCTGCTGCAGCTGTAGCCTGTAAACTCACAATCAAGTGATTTTTTTTTTCAGCCCACATGATTTTGGCGGGAGAAAAAGAGCCAAAAAGAAAATCAAGGTGCTAAGTGATCAGGATACATTACTGGCGTGTTTAGTTGTTTGTGAGCTAAAGAAATCAAGGAGTGAGTGGCAGCACAGTAGGTCAGAGGCAAGGAACAACAAGAATGGTCCAATGTGCAATATAAGGTAGCAAATCCCGGTCCAAAGTGAAAACATCAAACATAGCCTAGTCCAAAGTGAAACTTTGGCAATAATAAGTGGCCTAAAGTGCAATTCACTCGAAAATATATCGTGAGTAGTTTATTGCGTATGTTACTTGATTGTTCATTTGTTATCAAAACTATTTGACAAAGAGAAAGACATACATATGGGACAATAAATCTCATGATGGACTAAATGGTTGTTTTATAGCAAGATCACTGGCTTGAAATATTTTTCATAATTATTTTTTAGATTTATGTAATATTTATGTTGCCCAATTATCATATAGTTCTGAAAATTCAAAAAAAATGAAAATATTAATCTCAAGAAGTATTCTATTAAATCATATCTACTTAAAAATACACAACTAAATTGTGTTGTTTTCAATTATTTTACATATGTAGCTTTAAATTAGCATTATATAGTCATCAAGTGTTATTTGACACCTGGAATATGATGTAAAATTATTTAAAATAGGAAAAGCCTAGAGCCAAGTCATTATATAGTTTCTCTTGTAGAGAAACTCATCACAGCTTTAGAGCCATCCACTCCCTGGCAGCTTAGAGCCAATCCTAAGCAAACACTGACCTTGGCAGGCAGCTCCATCTTGGCTGGCCGGCTGAGATCAATCATCGATGGAGGTGGCCGTTGGTGCGGCGAGCTGGCTCGTCGGCAAGGTGGTGACGCAGCTGTCCGATAGCTTGGTGGAGGCCTACGTGGCCAGCACCGAGCTTGGCCTCAACATGGAGCAGATCAAGAGCGATCTCATGTTCACGCAAGGGCTGCTCCACGAGGCTCAGATGAGGAGGGACGTGAGCAACCCTGGCCTGCCTGGGCTTTTGGAGATTCTCAGCAAGAAGGCTGACGAGGCTGAGGACACGCTGGATGAGCTCCAGTACTTCATCATCCAGGACCAAATTCATGGCACCCATGAGGCCACCCCGGTGGTAGACAGCAGCATACGTGGCCAGGCACTCCATGGCCACCATGTTCTTCACCGTACCGTTGGTAACTGCCTTTCATGCTTTTCTTCTTCTTCTACACGAGATGGTGCCGGTGACCATGTTGGCAAGTTGACATTCAATCGAGTAGATATGTCAAAGAAAATCAAATCAATAATAGAAGGCATAGATGCCGCATGTAACCATGTATCCAATTTGCTCAAAATTATCCATCCTACAGTAGGAAGGGTTCTATCACTGAAGCGACCTCCCAGCAGCTCAACAATTACACAGAATGAATTATATGGGCGGGAAGACATCTTTAACCAGACTCTTGATGACATGTGCACCATTCGTAGTGAAACACTATCAGTTCTTCCCATAGTTGGCCCTGGTGGAATCGGAAAGACTACCTTTGCCCAACACCTATACAACCACAAAAAAACAGTGGCGCACTTCTCTAAAAACAAGGCCTGGGTTTGTGTGTCTACTAATTTTGATGTGGTTAGGCTCACCCAGGAAATCTTGAGGTGGCATATGTCAAAATGGAAATGAGGGAAGTAGTGAAGCACATAAAACATCCAACTTGGATCAGCTCCAAAAATCCATTGAAGAAAGACTGGATCCTAAAAGATTTTTACTTGTCTTGGATGATATGTGGAAATGCAACAGTGAGGCTGAATGGGGAAGTCTACTAGCTCCATTCAAAACAGGAGAAGCCAAAGGAAGTGTGGTTATCGTCACAACTCGCTTTCCATCTATAGCACAAATGATAAAAACAACCAAGCCAATAGAACTGCAAGGTCTAGAGGATGATGAATTCTTGACATTCTTTGAAGAATGTATATTTGGTCAATACGGCGGTCGGCCTTAGAGATTGGACAAAAGGCATCTGCTCAGAGGCTAAATTGCAATTCCATATGGCACTCAATGTCATCCAAAGACTCGACGTGGCACAAGAGCACAGAGAACTCTCCCCCCCCCGGAAACGCGACTGAGGGCGGCTCTCAAGCGGAAAGTCCTAGGACTCGCTTCTATAGAAAGGGCAAGGAAAAAGCAAGCCTCCAGGGTAACTCACATCCGTGAAGGAGATGCGAACACGAAGTTCTTCCACCTCAAGGTTAATGCGCGAAGGAGAAGGAATACAATCCAAAGATTGAAAAAGGACAGTGGTTGGGCGGTGACGCACGGTGAAAAGGAATCGACGATTCATGATCACTTCGCAAGCTTCATGGGGAGGCCAGGGCCGAGGCCAAACGAGCTAAACTGGGAGACGTTGGACATCACACCGATTGATCTAGCCACGCTGGGGGAACCCTTCACTGAGGAGGAAGTGCATAGGGCAATTAAGGAAATGCCAGCCGACAAAGCACCGGGACCAGACGGCTTCACTGGGGCCTTCTTCAAAGTTTGCTGGGAAATCATCAAGGATGACATTCTGCTAGTCTTCAGCTCCATCTATAACCTGAGATGTGCGCACCTGAATTTGCTCAACTCAGCAAACATCGTCCTAATCCCAAAAAAGGATGGGGCTGAAAGCGTTTCGGACTATAGGCCAATTAGTCTAATTCATAGCATCGCCAAGATCTTCGCTAAGATGCTAGCGCTGTGGTTAAGGCCCCACATGCATGAGTTGATCTCGGTCAATCAAAGCGCTTTCATAAAGGGGAGAAGTATTCATGACAACTACCTCTTCGTAAGAAACATGACCAGAAGATACCACCGCCTAAGACGGGCAATGTTGCTCTTCAAGTTGGATATAACAAAAGCCTTCGACTCTGTGCGATGGGATTACCTCCTAGCCTTGCTGCAGCGCAAGGGCTTCTCGACAAGATGGATAGACTGGCTAGGGGCTTTACTGTCGTCTTCGACATCCCAAGTCCTCCTTAATGGCTCGCCAGGGCAACGGATCAAACATGGAAGAGGACTACGGCAAGGGGACCCCCTCTCGCCGCTTCTCTTCATCTTGGCGATTGATCCTCTACAGCGTATCCTTTCCAAGGCAACAGAGCTGGGTGCAATTTCAAAATTACGAGGAAGAACAACTCGGCTGCAGATCTCAATGTATGCGGATGATGCTGTGATCTTCATTAATCCCACCCGGAACGATGTTGCGACTTTCGCGAACATCCTACATCGTTTTGGCACAGCCACAGGACTCGTCACCAACCTTCAGAAATCCCAGGTTGCGGCTATAAGATGCGGCAATATAGACCTGGAAGAGGTCCTCCAAGGCGTTCCGGCGAAGCGGGCAAATTTCCCACTAAAATACTTGGGCCTCCCGCTTGTTCTGGGAAGGCTGCGAAAAACGGACTTGCAACCGGTCTTTGACAAAATATCAGGGAGAGTTGCAAGTTGGAGGGGGAAAAACATGGCAGTAGCCGGGAGAACCACGCTTGTAAAGTCTGTGCTTTCAGCGCAGCCAATTTATCTCCTCACTGCCTTGAAGGTGACGAAGGAATCCCTGGAGCAGCTTGACAAGCAGAGACATCGCTTCCTTTGGGCTGGTACGGGGGATATCACCGGGGGGAAATGCAAGGTCAACTGGGCAAAGACATGCTTGCCGACCAGCCAGGGGGGCCTTGGTGTCCTAAGCTTGGACAAGTTCACAAGAGCTCTGAGATTGCGATGGTTGTGGAACGAATGGAGAGATCCAAGCAAGCCTTGGGTGGGTTTGGAAACGCCTTGTGATGGTGTGGATAGGGACCTCTTCGCCGCCTCAACAAAGATAACTGTGGGCGATGGGAATACAACGCGCTTCTGGGACTCCGCATGGATTAACGGCCAAAGACCAAAAGACCTAATGCCGTTGGTCTATGAGATCTCCAAAAATAGGAAGAAATCCCTACGGCAAGGGAAAGAAGACGACTCCTAGGTGCATGACCTGACCCTCGATGCGGGTTCATCTATCACAATCAACCTTCTCGATCAGCTAGTCCGCCTGTGGGAGGCGGTACGGAATGTGCACTTAGACAGCGAGGAGCCGGATCAGATTGTTTGGAAATTCACAAGCAGCGGCCACTATACAGCTTCCTCGGCTAATCATGCCCAATGTTTGGGGGCGCCAAACACAAACTTCAACTCCCTAATCTGGAAAGTTTGGGCGCCAGGGAAATGTAAATTTCATGCCTGGCTCATCATTCAAAATAGAGTCTGGACGTCGGACCGACTCGCGACAAGGGGTTGGCGGAATAACGGACATTGCCCCCTATGTCGTTGTGACACCGAGACAGCCTTGCACCTCGTCGCCATGTGTAGATACACGAAGAGAATCTGGCGCCTCGTTGCTACATGGGTGGGATATCAGCAGTTGGAACCGGCCCAATGGGAGGAAGCCTGGTCAGTCCATCAGTGGTGGGAGAGCCTAGCTAACACACCCGGCATTCCAAAGAAGGGCCTTCGGTCCCTTATCCTGCTAGTAGTTTGGGAAATTTGGAAGGAGCGAAATCGGCGAATCTTTGATCACAAAGAGATGGCAACAGGTGTTCTCCTAGCAAAAATCAAAGAGGAGGCCAGCTTGTGGGCTTTAGCTGGGGCTAAAAGATTGCGCGAGCTCATCCCGCACTCTGTATAGTGTATAGTCTAAAGATCTTTTTGTTTTATCCCTAGGGGTTGTATTTTCTCCTTCTATATTCAATGAAAAAGCACTGCTGTGCTGTTTTTTCCGTTCAAAAAAAATATATATATTTGGTCAAGACAAGCCTGCATGTTATGAAGATGACTTCATTGATATTGCAAGAAAAATTTCCAAGAAATTGAAGGGTTTTCCACTAGCAGCCAAAAGCGTTGGTCGATTATTGAAGAATAACCTTTCTCAGGAAAGTTGGATGGAAGTTCTTGAAAGAAATGAGTGGAAAAATCGGCAAGGTGACGATGACATAATGCCAGCACTACATAGTAGCTATGATTATCTTCCATTTTATCTAAAAAAAATGTTTTTCTTGTTGTTCCCTTTACCCTAAGGACCACTGGTTTAATAAATTAGAGATTACTCATTTTTTGGAAGCATTAGGCATCCTATGTTATGGATGTCAAAATAACAAAGATGCTGATATAGGATTAAAGTATTTGGATGAACTGGTAGGTAATGGTTTTCTCATGAAGGAAGGTGATGATAGTAGGCCATATTATGTAATGCATGACTTATTACATGATCTAGCACAAAATATTTCGTCACAAGAGTGCATCAACATAAGTTCATATAGTTTTAGGTCTAATAGCATCCCGCAATCTATTAGACATGTATCCATCACCTTACAAGATAAGTATGAGGAAAGTTTTGAGAGAGAAATAGAAAAATTCAAGAAAAAAATAGACATAGGAAATTTACAGACATTGATGCTTTTTGGAGAAAGCAATGCAAGCATGGCCTTTTTCAAAGACTTATTAAAACAAACAAAATGTCTTCGTGTTCTGTTTATGCATGCAGACTCACTCGAATCATTCCCACACAACTTCTCGAAACTGATCCACCTTCGATATCTAAAGTTGAAAATACCTTATAACGTAAAATTGTCTCTACCAAACGCAGTAAGTAGATTTTATCACTTGAAACTTTTGGACCTAGGGAATAGAAATTGTATTTTGCCAAAAGACATTAATCATCTAGTCAATTTATGCCTCTTTCTTGCTTCGAAAGAACTTTGTTCCAACATTCCTGGGATTGGCAAGATGAAGTATTTGCGGAGGTTGGAAGAGTACCATGTTAAGAAAGAGGGTATTGGGTTTGAGCTGAGTGAGCTAGGGGATTTGACAGAGCTTGGAGGTGAACTGAAAATATTTAATCTTGAGAACGTGACAACAAGGGAAGAAGCTAATGAAGCCAAGTTGATGATCAAAACAAATCTGAAAACATTGAAGCTAGTTTGGAGTGTGGTGCAACGGACAACACGATCTGATGTTCTTGACGGTCTCCAACCACCTCCTAATCTTAAAACACTTGTCATAATAAACCATGGTGGTTCGGTTGGTCCTAGTTGGTTGTGCAGTTATATTTGTGTAAAATACTTGAAATCATTCCATCTAGAGGGTGTCTGTTGGGGCAATCTCCCACTTTTTGGTCAACTGGTGCAGCTAGAGGAACTTACTTTGAAGAGTATTTCAGGCATACATCAGTTCGGACCTGATTTTGGTGGTGTAACACAAAAAAGTATCTCGCACTTGAAGAAAGTTGAACTTATTAATATGCCAGACCTTGTGGAGTGGGTTGGGGGAGCTCATTGCCATTTGTTTTCGAAGATTACAAGCATCAAGTGTGAAAATCTATCTATCTTCTATCTATCTATCTATCTATTATCTATTATATACTAAAAGTCCATTAAACTTACTATAAACGCTCCCAAGCCGCCACTTGGCGCTCTAATAAATTAGAGAAATCTAAGAAATTCTAAGAAAAAAGCAAAACATCTGATCCTCGATTTTCACTTAATACAGCGGGCCCATTATTTTACACCATTAGATCCATATTAAACAAAATAAACCCCATCTCCCAAAAATCCTCTCCCGCTCCCCTCATGGGCCTCCACTCCTCACATAAACAGTACGTACATGTACTAACGTTCCTCCCTCGCATCCTCTCTTTTCTCCATTCCATTCATCTTCTATTTTTTTAGATAATAAATTTATTATATAAAAATAATTAGATAACTAAATAATTATATTTATTTGCAACATATTATATTTATCTATATTAGCCATGTGTTTTGATATATGAGAAATACATCATTTGACAAAAACTCCTACAAATAGCAAAAATTAATAACATATACTATCATGTGATCGCAAATAATTTCATGTCCTCTTTGCTTGCTCACCTTGGCCTCCTTAATTTCTAGCTAGCAAATAATAAATATCCATTAAATTAAACATCGTGTATCATAATATATCTATCTATTATATACTAAAAGTCCACTAAACTTCCTACAAACGCTCTCAAGCCGTCATGTGGCACTCCTACATACACTCCTAAGCCGCCACATGTCATATCTCTAAAGATTCTACAAATTTTGAATACAAAGAAAATATCCGACCGTCAATTTTCACTTAAATCAGTGACCCATTATTGCCAAAAAAAAGGCTGAACGCTATTCATCGGGAAAAAAGCCAAAAAGAACGAACATATATGTACGCTCACCTCAAGTAATGAAAAAACACAGAAAAATAGCATACCATCCCTCGCCTGATCTTATAAAAACATTAGACTATTACAATTAAATTTAAGAGATGTAAAACAACTAAAACTGATATTTAAAAATCATCGACGGTTACGAAATTATGATATGTTACTATAAATTTACCATTAGATTTATAACAAAACTACAAGAAAAACTAATTCCATTTATTTATTTCATCATAAAAATTATAACAAAACTAATAATATCGATTATATCATCATATATAACTTCATAAACATGGATAACAAAAATTATATCTATGATTATTCGAAGTAAATATTTCATTCATTATGAAACTGTGATAAGTTACAATAACATTAGAGTCATGATAAAATTATCAGATTGTCATATAAACTACTTTCATGTATTCATATTTTTAAGTTTATTGTGAATATACTAATTTCATGTATTCATATTTTTAATTTTTATTGTGAATATATTGCAAGAAAGACCAGATACAAAGCTCTTACTATGGTACAACCTACACAGTTTATACGTGGATAACTTAAAGGTATCAAGCATATGTCCCGTTAATCTTGAATGTGTCCGACCCACTTACAAATTCTTATCCACCAAACATCGAGCTACAATTGCTAACAAGGTATTTGTGCATCATATCATATCAAATATCTAATATATGATGAACATGTGTACCATTAGACGCATATAGAGATAAAGGACATTTTATAAGGGACATTTGCTCATTTAACCCTTTTCTAAAGCTTAACTACCAATTTGATCCTTTTTTAAAACAAGGTTTGCTCATTTGACCATGTTTTTCAACATCGAAGTTGTCGTCTGACCCTACTTTCACTACATCCTGAGTTTTTCATTTAGAAGAAAAGAAAAACATGTATTTACAAGCCCAAATGACTAAAATGACACTGAATACATCAACCTTATCCTCAAGCACTCATTTGCTCATTCCTTATCCCCCCGTCTCTCTCTCTCTCTCTCTCTCTCTCTTCAAAGCGCGAAGGGCAGGAGGAGCGGTGGCGGCAGCACGACAGCAGCTGCGGAGTGCCCCCGGCTGCTTCGCGGAGGGTAGGATCGGTGGCAGAGAGGCAACATTGACTCGCCGACGAGGAGGGCCGCTGGCAGTGGTCGAAGAGACGGTGACAACTCGGCAGAGGGGAGGCAGCAGCTCCATGAAGGGTAGGAGGGGTGGCGTCGGCTCAGTGACGAGGAGGACTGCCGACGATGGCGAATGGGAGGCGGTGGCTGTGGAGGGGTGGCAGCAACCACAGATATGGTAGGAGGAGCGGAGGCAGAGGGATGGTGTCGGCTCAGTGATGAGGAGGATAGGCGGTGACGGTGAAGGGGCGGCGGCACGGTGACGAGGAGGACCATTGGCGCCCACGCACATCTCCGCCATTAGCTTGCTAATAAGGTCAAATAAGTAAGGGTAGAAGTGGTATTTGGGGCTTTTGTTAACTCCGATTAATGCTCTTAAGAGAAGAAGGTCAGAGTGTAGCTTCGGTTTTGAAAAGAAGGGTCAAATGAGCAAAGTGACCAAAACATGGTCAAATCGGTAGTTAGATATGCAAATAGGGTCAAATGTGCAATTGCTCCATTTTATATTATAGATTATATCATTTTGTATCATTTTATAAACATACAAAGCCAAAGACACGGGTGATTTACTTAATCTATCTAAAAAAACATGTCTACGGTAATAAGAATCATAGATACTGAAAAGACAGAAAAACTCAAGAGCATATACCCTAATAATACCTAATAGTAAATAAAAATTATCAATGGCTAATCCCTAGGACATATAAAATTATAAAGTATTATTTTACTAGTTTATTAAATGCCCTAAAGAACCCTCCTACAACGTCTATTAAAGCCTTTAACAAATAAGAGGAAACTTTAAATTTCTTCTGTAATAGATAAAGCATCTAAACCTTATTCCTCATTAATTTAATGCTCCCATTAATTTTGGCCATTGGGCCATTTCAATGGGTATATGTATACACACATTATTTAATAAAAAAACATTCATCCAAGCATGTTTTCTAACAAAAAATTATTTGAGATGTCAGGTGAGGTTGTAATGACCTGTTGCATGGTTTAGAGGGTTGTTGTCAGGATGACTAGCATTGAGTTTTACTAGGTTGCCAGCCATCCAATGCATCACAAAAAGAGCCCATATAGGAGATATTTGTGTTTTGTTGATCGAGCCACCATCAAGAGAAGCCAACATGGGAACCCCAGTACAAATATTTTTTATGACTAAATCTTCTCTTAACTCAAGTATCTATGTAATATTATTTAAGTCGTGTTGGCTTGAAGCATGCATAATTTGATAACATGGTATATCTAGAAGGCTACATGTTAGAACATTCAATTAACCCATCTTGGAAATAATAATACTTAGCAAGAAATCAAACAGGTAACAAATTTCTATCTTTAATTTTGATATTTAATTTTAATCATTGGAAAGGGGGAGATAGAGTGAATGGTTCAAACAGTTATGTTAATATTGTCCAATTTGCAAGCTAAATGTTTTTTTAAAAAAAAGAGATATAGCGGGTTGATTCTGAAGTATTATCGTACTATTCAAGAGTAGAGGAAGTAGTAATCGTATCCAAAATACATACAAAGAACCATCATACATAATTTTAGCATTCAGAGAAATAGAGATGCACGCGCAACGCGCGGGCTATCTTCCTAGTTGTCCTAATTTCTCTTCGTTGCTGCGGCCATCCTCGGAGTGCTCTGTCTCTCATATACAAGACATAAACACCACATGGTTTCCCAACTTGTGTGATCTTGACATTCGGAGTTGCCCCAAGTTGTCCCTGCCCCCCATGCCTCATACTTCCACGCTGACACGTGTTAGTGTGAGAAAAGGTGATGAAACACTCTTGTATTTTCGGGAAGAAGAGCTGACAGCATACCATTATGATGGTGCTTTGGCACTCCACAACCTGGGTAAAGTAAAAGCTATGGAAATTGTAGATATGCTGCATTTTCCATTGGCTGACCTCCAAAATCTAAACTGCCTAACACGACATTCTTTCGAGGATTGCGATAACATTGACAATACTGTTGTTCTCCATTCAGTTCAGTCGCTCTATCTCGATGATTGTCATCTTACTGGAAAATCATTGACAATGGTATTAAGCATTTTTCCGGCTCTTACCTACTTCAATTTGAGAATGTTTGGTGAAAATCATGACATAGAGGAAATAGTGCTGCAGGCCCCAATAACCTGCTCATTGTGCCATATGTCGATATCCTCCAGCAAGAACCTAGTTCTGCCAGTTGAGGACGGAGGAGGTCTGCAGGAACTCTCCTCACTCCAGTCACTCAGGATTTCAGATTGTGGCAGAATGTTCTCTCGATGGTGCATGGTCGATGCAGGAGCTCGTACCAGCAAGCCCCTCCCTTCTTCCCTCAGGGAGCTCAGTATTTGTAGAGAGTCAAGCATGCAGTCGATGGCTCTGCTCTCAAACCTCACATCTCTCACACATCTTACACTATTGGAATGTGAAGACTTAACAGTAGATGGATTTGATCCTCTCATTACACTCAACCTCAAGGAATTGGTGGTTTTAAATAATTGTTATGAGAACAATTATTCTTGTTCCATAGCAGCAGATTTGCTCTCAGAAATGACAAGGACCAAAGTATTATCTGCAGGTTCCTTACAACTGGAAGCACTTAAGGTGGACAATATCTCAGGAGTGCTTGTTCCCTCCATTTGCAGCCTCCTTGCCGCCAACCTCCACAAGTTAATTTTCAAATCTGACTTGCAGATGGAAAGCTTCGATGAAGAACAAGAGCATGCGCTTCAGCTCCTCACCTCCCTCAAGCAACTATATTTTGCCGACTGCCCAAGTCTGCTTTCCCTCCCCGATGGGTTGCATCACATTTCTTCTCTCCAGAAATTGCACATATATAATTGTCCTAAAATTGGATTCCTACCCAAGGAGGGCTTCCCCTCTTCATTGAGAGATCTAGTGTTATCAGAGTGTAGCGTCGATCTACAAGATCAATTGAAGAAATTGGAGACATCAAACCCAGATTTATTTGTACACCACATGAGGTAAAAAGGAAAGAAAAAGAAGTGTTCTCTCAACTACTACTTATTTCAGCATCCATCTGTAACCTTCAATACTAAACTAAAACTGCTCTGCTTTGTTTCCTACTTTGCTGTGAAGGATGGGCCGAATCAGTCTGGAGATATAGCGGACTATCTGCATCCGCATGCGAGTAACACAATAGCACATGCGGGCCAAAGGATCGATCGGTTCTTCCCTCTGCAACAATCTGGAAGGTTCTTGAAAAACCAACTTTTTTTAATTTTATGTGGTCGGGAATTTATGATCTCCTTTTTTTAGTGCATGCAAGCGACCACTCTGTTATTCGCCCATGTAGTTCATTGCTTCCTTCACCTAACCAATGTTATATTAACTGTCAGACAGTTTTGGTAACCTTGGCTAGAGACTCAGCATGGTGATAATGCATGCAGCAGGCTGATAGCTATGCGGTAAATTTGAGACGCGCCTTGCCCTGGTCTGACCTCTACAACATCAGTTACACCTAGGTGGTCAGTAACCTCTCCTCAACTCATCTCGTCTCTCTCTCTCTCTCTTGATCTCTCCAAAATAGGGAAGTTAGAGGATATGTCCTTTAAAACTACTCCCTCAGTCCCGAAATAAGTTAATATAATATGGCATGTAATATTTTCAAGTAAAGTATGCTAAAAAAAACAAGTATGCTAAAAATGACTCTAAAGTATGTATAGGGTAAAAGTATTCTAGGCAATTTTTAAAATGCCTCTAAAAGGTGTCTACACTTTTGAACTCCCGAATTTAGAGACAATTTGAAATTCTCTTCTACAAAAGTGTCTCAACATAAGGTTTTTGTTGTAGTGTGAGCTTGGCATTGAGTGTGTATTCTTTCTGTGGAAACCTATCAATCCAAAAGCTTGTCCAGAACTCATCAGTTTGACATGGTACAGTAAAGTTCAGACCTGCCTGCCAGTTCATGTAATCATTTGCTCTTTAGCTTATTAGCCTTAGCGAAAATTTGAATTTCAGAACTTAATTTTAGGGTTGATTTTATTAATTGTTTTCCATCATAGTTTGTTTTCTGGCATTGTGTCACGCCCACGCCTACCATCTTTCATTGGCAGCTTACAACGGACAAATGAAGAACAATAGAACATCATTGCTTAAAATAAAGACAGATGATGATCAAAAGATCACCACAGTTGACATGAGTTCTGTGGAGCATCGATTCCATTTCATCATCTGGTATGTTCATCTATGTAAGCAGTTTTAGATGACAGCATCAGGCCCAAATACGAATTATACCCTTACATACTCTTTTGTCCTTGCTCTAAGTAGAAATTTAACAAATAGTATATTATGATTGAAACAAATGAGTTTATATGTTTTACAGCCCATCTAAACTTTTCATTGAGACTGGTCCCACCAACTCCAAACAACATAGACCACACAGCTCTACTAGACTACTAATAAACTGGCAATGGATTCTGGTGTTGGTAACAGAGGCATATATGGTCTTTCTTCTTTTTTTTTAATTGAAGAGGTGCATATGGTCATCGATAGGAGAATCATTTTGAGCTTATTAGTTTGTTAAGTCCCATTTAATCATTCATTATGGAATGCTAAACCGATTGCACATAATACTGATATAACTGGAATGACATAATATTTCTTGACTACTAGATAATACCCCGCGCGTTGCTGCGGACATAATAAATAACTTTCAAACATGCAATATGTGCATAACATTTGAGAAGAAAAAAGAAAAAACTACTTATTACCATATAATTGATGGAGTATATACAGTGGTAATTATAACTAAATATTACATGATGGAGTATCTCCCCAGGTAGCAGTGGTTGGCCAATGCAACTAACAGAATTACAACTCAAATATATGGCTGTTGACCGGATAGAGCAAGTATTAATAAACAAAATTGAAGGCCACTAAACATTACTGGAAAATGAAAAATATACACCAATAAAATTACCCAAAATTATGTACTATGTGTTTATGAACATAGCATGTATGAAAAATAACAGTAGAAAAGCAAGTAAGGTGTCATACTGTTGTCCTCGTTAACTTGATAGCCTTTATTCAGCATGACATTTTTCCTAGTACCGCTTCCCTCGCTGACCCATTGATCTCAGTTTTGGAAATTCTGTAGTTAATCTTGCAAATGAATGCCAATTGATTCATGAATAAGGTGCTAGAATATCATAAATAATTGTGGTAAGAAATGTTTATTTAACTGGAAGTAGCAATTATTATGCATATCTTATCGTATAAATATGCGATGAACATTAGGAGCGCATTTGTAGTTGCATAGCTGATCAGGAATGTAGTCAAGGCATGTAGCAAACCTAGGTGATGAGTGATGACTACTTTACAATTACAAAACTGATAATAACCATAACTGAAACATCAATATTTTATATGTTTAAACATCTACAAATATAGTCCAATTATCACTGATAGCAAGGAAATCATAACTAAGGTGTCAAACTATTATATAATAATGGTAGAAAATTTTCATGCTTGAGTAAGATATGGGAAGTTGGGAAAAGGATTATTACCTCGTATATATAATTAAGTACTCATCCTTGATTAACTCTTTGGAGTGATTTTAGCTTTCAGAAAACTCCAAAAATATTTATATCACCAAGCTAATTCAAGAGTGACAAAAGATACTTAAAAACATATCTAGAGTATACATGATCAGAAAATAAAATGAACTTTGAGACGGAAGACAACCTAATCTATTTAAGAGCAAACCTGTGTGTCTGTGTGTGGAGAATCTGACATCATTCTTGATGAGGACCTTATCAAAAGTGAAAAGCACATCAACGACATAGATGTACCGAGATATATATAGCTTCACCAGTTAAAGACCATAATTAAAATACCAAAAGAAGAAAGCTCCATCCGCTTAGCAGCCCATATGATTGTTACTTAGCTCGATGAGTTCTTAGATCTGATCGGGTGACGACAAATCAACCAATAGATGCATATTTGCCACGTCTTCAACCACTTAAGAATGAGAAGTGGTCTATAATTCAGGATAAATAAAGAATATGAATCAACTAAATCAGTAGCCAAGAACCTGAAACCTGGAAAAAGAGGATACAGCAACAATAAAATTCTCTGTTGGGTATCAGATTTATTGAACATAAGGAAAGGGGAAATCGGTAGGTAACCTGTGTTAGATCATTGAAGTAATTGGAGAGGATCGACCAGGTGAGGGCTGCATATGAATCCAGCAAGCAGAGTTGCAAGAACGGTAGTAAAACGCCAGCAGCCTGGTAGAGTGTGGTAGATCGACGAATAAGCGAGATGATAAATTGGATATAGATGCAGAACTGATAAAGGGATAAGAGGAGAAGAAAACGCATTAAGCCATTAATGGATTTACTTGATAACAGCCGTGAAGTGTTTTCCTCGGTGGTTGTCGACGGTTTTCATTAATCATGGCAACCTAAAGGGGCGAACAACCTTTAGACATGGGAGAGGAAGGGGGAAGCAGCGCACGAGCCGCCATGGGGGCGACGGGAGGGGAAGCGCCACACCCTCATCCTGCCTCCGTGTGGCACGGGAGGCGGATGACATGCCAGCGCCGGTACGGGCGAGCACGATGCGGGAGATGGAGAGGATCACGGCGAGATTGATACGAAGGGGGCGGCGGAGCGAGATGCAGGAGAGGGAATCGATGCGAGCGTGCAAGGGGAGAGGAGAGGAGCGATGCGGGAGAGAGGGGTTGATGCGCGTGGGGCCGGTGAAGCAGCGAGATGTGGGAGAGGAGAGGAGCGATGCGACCGCTTGATTGAGATCGAACGGTGGGGAGAAAATGGGGTGACGTGAAGCACCAGGAAGCAGAGAATTCTAGTAGTGGGAATGATTTGTATAGGTATATAGGATTCCTGCTAGGGGAAGGTAATAAACCTGTGATTCCAACCACACAATAATCTTAATTATCTAGACTACAGACACTGGTGGAGAAACCCTTTGTAGTCCCGGTTCGTAACCCCCCTTTAGTCCCGGTTTCCAAACCGGGAGTACCAATCCGGGACTAAAGATCGCTATCTTTAGTCCCGGGTGAAATAACCGGGAGTAAAGATCGATCTTTAGTCCCGGTTGGTAACACCAACCGGGACTAAAGATCGAGCTGACCTTTTTTTTTTTGCATGCCCCTGTTGCTGCATGGTTTATATATATATATATATATATAAACCATGCATATATATGTTTCAATACATATATATGCATACATATATATATGTATATATATATATATATATATATATATAATATTATATTATATGTATATACATGCATAATATATATGTATTTATACATATATATGTTATGCAAATGCATATGTATATAGATATATATATGAACAAAATATATTTACATTATAGAAAATGTGTACACATGCATATAGAAACATATGTAGTCATGTATTAATTACAATCCATTATATGTCCTAGCTAGCTACGATTTCGACGTAGTAGTACTCGCTGCTAGCTCAGAAGCTAAGGACCGGTGAATTGTGTTTCCGTCGTAGTAGAATTCACCCTTGGGATCAAGGATTTCTTCGTTGATGAATCCCATGAGTTGTTCTTGAACCGCCGCGATAAATTCCTTGTGTGTGGTCAGGTTATCCCTCATGCGAATAAACTATATGAATGTATGAAATTGATTAGTAATTAAACAAGAAATCGCTACGTAATGAAATTTTGAATTTATTTGTACGTACATCGAGCTCTCTTGTGGTGATGATTTGGTCTGCAAGGCAGTGGCAATACTCGCACACGTAATAGCCGCACAAGTTAGTTCCCTGCTTTTGCTTTGCGCACTACAAATAAATGACAAACAACGAGAGATCTAATTAATATACACTTGTATGTATTTGAATCGGAGAAATATAAATGTAGAGCATGTGTACTCACAGGAAATTTGAACTTCCGCCTAAGTCTTTCTCTCCATTTGCTGCGGACCAAATGACGGAACCGATACCAAGCCCTACATGGAGTTTA